GTTGAAGGGTTTTCGGGTTTTCGGGTTTTGGGGTTTAGGGGTTTAGGGTCTAGGGGTTTAGGTTTTAGGGATTTAGGGCTTGAAGTTTAGGATTTGGGGGTTGTTGTAGTTTTGGGGCTGTCTTTCAAGGTTGAACAGTATCAACAGAGGTTTTTTTGTCAGGGAGCTGTTTTGAAAATAGGATCGTGCCAGGAGCAGGAACGTTGGAGCTGAAGAAGTGTGATGCCTTGTCTGGCAATGAGGCTTGCCGGCTGGTCGGTGGCTCCAACAGCTGTTAGGGCTTGGGTTGAGGGAGGGTTTGGTGTGGCTCCAAGCGCCTATCAATCATTGCTGTTGCTATGATTAAGCCGTCGGATCAAGGGCTCCAGGAAGGGCTGGCAGTTCAAGCAAGCTTTCTGGTGTGGGGTACCCTATCTATTGCAAAGGCACCCAGGGCGGCGGATGTTTCGGGTTTGGGGTTTGAACAAAGCGAATGAGGGTTCGACAACCCCTGCGGTTTCAGGGAGGGTGTGCGGATGCCATCCTCGGAGGAGCTCAAGGCTTTGCAAGGTCTATCTTGAGGATGGTGATGTTGAGGGTAAATGCATACCGCTAGATCCGAAGCAGACCACTGAACTAAATCTTAAAGACTTTCAATCAGACCCTGAAGCCTGTGCAGCCCTAAGCCCTCAACTCCAACTCTGAACCTGAACCTTTCCACCACTGACGTTCAGGGTGCTTTTCGCATTATCGACCGCCAAGAGCCCCGAGAGTACGAGCTCTACCGCGCGAGCCTCACAGGATGCTTCAAGTTGATGAAGTTGCGGGTCAGGTTGTGGGTGTGCGCGTTCACAGGTCTTAACGGGATTATGTTCATGGTTTATGAGGTCTTTGATATGTGTATGTAAAGGCCTTAGGCCGCTTCATCCCAAAGCCCTGTGTACAGTCTAAACAGAACCACACTCTCTACCTGGTTGTGCTTACCCTGAGGTTTCTATAGGGCTTGTGTCAGGTGTCTCTGCAGCTTTATTCCGGAAGGATCGTGCTTTTTCCGTTTCTGGATCCTTCTCCCGAAGCTCTTGTACCGGTGTTCAGGGTTAGGAACTCTTCAGCTCTGGAATGCCTATGCGAATCGAGTTTCGGGGTAGCATATAAAGTGAACTTGTAGGCACGAGACGAGAGGGGGGAGCCACGACTGATAGTTCAGGCCCTTCTGTTGGTTCTCCTCAGAAGAACCCTAACCAAAACCAAAACGATCTGGTAGTCTTCTGGGATCTCGCACTGAAAACTTACAAGCAAAACAGGCAGAGTTGCCGAGGTTAGAAGCCAAGACACAGGCAGAGTTCCCGAGGTTAGAAGCCAAGCGAAATCAAATAAACCCTCGAAGAAGCACCCCTAGCTTGCCAACAATCCCTCACAAGGCTCACCCAAAACCTTTTTAATTCCTTCCCCAAGCCTAAAATCCAAAATTCCAACAACCACCCCTAATCCGCGAAGCCCCAAACCCTACAACACACGCTGAAGCGCCACACCCCAAAGTCCAAAACCTCCGAAAGCCCAGGTTCCAAATCACAATTCAAACCACTATCCCATTTAGGGTTTAGGGTTTAGGGTTTAGGGTTTAGGGTTTAGGGTTTAGAAGCACCACTTATCTAAGCACCACTTATCTAAACACCACCAACCCTACCCCAAATGCCCCGAAGCCCGCTAAAGCTATGTCAAACGCTGCCAAAAGACCTAAAGACTTCCTAAACCCACACTCAGCCTTAATCCTTGCACCCTACACCCTTAAACTTAAAGTCCCGAGCCGCGTTATAAAACTTCCTGCGATGACCCTCGAAATCTGAAACCCCTAAAACCGTAAACTCCATAGAGGAACCTGGGGCAAGAACCCGCCTGACCTGAGCCCGTCTCTTCGTGTGCCGCGCAGGGGGCGAGCTGGCAAAGTACCAGTGGGACAAAGTATTCCCCGACCTACCGGACAACTGAACCGACTAAAAAAGTGAATCGTTCTAAGCGTAGTATTAAGGTTAATAGTAGTTGTAACAGTAATCGTAATGGTAATCGTTCTAGCAACAGTAAGAGTTATAGGTATAGTAGTAGTAGTAGTAGTAGTAGTAATAATAATCGTAATCGTACAAAACGTAATAGTAAGAAGAAGACTACGAATAAGTATAATAGCAATAAGAATAAGAAAAATACAATAATGCAGTCAATAAGAACACTAGTAATAACCAAAGTAACAATAGTACAATGCTAATAACAATAGTCAAAACAGTAGCAAAAGTAATAGTATTAGCAATAAACATCAGAATAGTAAGAATAGTAAACATGATAGTATTTGACAGTAACAAAGCGCAATAAAAATTAATGCCAGACGCAGCCGTCATAATAGTAACAATAGTAATAAGTAATAGTAATAGTAATAGTCAGCATCATCATCTTAATAATATCCAAAGTGAAGTCCTTCATAGGCCTTTATTACGGGCTTCACCCTTGAAGCCCAAAGCACACTGCAGGCCCGAAGCTAAGCCACAGGCCCTGGCCGCAGAGCCCGAAAAAGAGGAAAGATGCACGCTCATCAAGTATTATGGGCGCTTAGATAAACTAATAAAGACTATTTTGGGGGGTTCCTTATTATGATCATAGCACAATATACCCCAAAACCCTATTCATTAAGGCCTGCTGCTTCGGGAGGTTAGAGGGCTGCCCTGCCTGTAGCACGCTCATGCGGAAACCTCCCGAGATACAATTCTCTTGTCTTGTTAAGGGTTCCTGTTTAAGCCAGCCAGGAAAGCATGTTTTTTCTACTTAATGTCCCGATCATGGTAGCTGAAAGCAGGTTGCTGACCAAGACTCCAAGAACTTGTTTGTGTAGGGATAAGATTAAAGGTTTGAGGGCCTATAGTGCTTCATCAAGCTGTCTCGGCCCTGTGCATTTTACGAGGTATTTATGGGTGTACATAGGATTCTTGTCGAATATACGCAATGTTTCATCGCTCTCCTGGCTTGGGTTTCGGGCTGGTGGTGTGCAAAGGGTTGAGGCCGGTTGAGGGTTTTGGAACCGAGGGCTTGTGCGTTTATACTTGGTTGTTGTGTAGAGTTGAGGGTTTACCGTAAACCAAACCCTACCTAAATTGTAAGCCCTAAAGCCTAAACCCCAAGCCCTCCTACGCCTTTGGTGGCTGTAGGCCATGACATGGGTCCTGAACCCCACGGAGCGCCTTATGGGGTCCCGCATTCAGCATCTCGGAACCCTAAACCCTAAGCCCTAAGCCCCAAGCCCTAAACCCTGAACCCTTCCCTGCAGCGAGCTTCAAGCTTGCATGCCCAGAGAGTCGGAGCCAATGCACAAGCAAAAAGGCTTTAGAGTTTTTGGGGCTCGGAGTTTAGGGTTTAGGGGTTCATGGTCTTGGGTTTCGGGGTTTCAGGGTTTGGGGTTTGGGGGTTCCAAATCGGGGGTTTAGGGTGCAGGGGGCCAGGGTTCAGGGTTTAGGGTTGAGGAGCGCCAGCTGAAGCTAAACTATCGTGGTTGAAGGGGGCTCAGCAGTACCGTCACAGTTAGACTAGACTAGGGGGCTTCTGATCCGATGTTGATACCCACGGTTTAGGGTTTAGGGTTTAGGGTTTCAGATTAGGTGTTTTTCTTGAATGGAGGTCGGTGAAGCTGTTATTGAAGCCAGGAGCCCCCGGGGGATGCTAGCATTTGCAGATGGGTTGCTCTCTAAATTAGGGTCCCTTTGGGGGCCCTTTTTGC